AATTTTTCTAAACTACCCGTAAGAACAACATATCTAAAAATTCTTCATTTAACCTCCATATATGTATATATATAGAGAGAACAAATGTGTAAAAAGATTTATACAAATATTATTTAAAAGTATCTTAAATATTAGTAATTAGACAGGTGAAATTTAGATTTAAAAAAAATCTAAATAGATAATAGATTTATAGTAGTAATTAGACTTTTATTTATTTATCTTTAAAGTTGTTACGATAGATGAGAGATGTGATTTTTTTGACTCGTGGAGATGGAATTTTGTAAGTTGGGTTATGAAATTTTCTTAAAGCGGTAGCTCAGATAGATATTGCACTTGCCCCTTGAGCTATAGAGTGGAACTGACTCGAGCGACCTACCCGCTTAACTCGTCCATATTTATGCAATGAGTTTTTTGAGCTGAGTATATAGATTTAAAATTGTAAAAAAAAAAAATCATAAATTATTTGATTTGATATTTTCGGAGAGCTTCATTAATTTAAAAGTGTAAAATAAATAAATAAAAAAGGGAAAAAATCTTTTTCACCCCAATACAAAGACACATTATGTTTTTCACCTAGAAGTGCGAAGGTTATACGAAAATTGTCGCATATTCATCGCATAACTGTCACATATGCGAAGGTTATGCGAAAAACTGTCGCATATCAATTGTATAAATGTCGCATATTCATCGCACAATACCTTCGCACTTTAATTTTTTTTCACCTCAGAAAGTGCGAACGAATATGCGAATGCCTTCGCACTTTTAACTTTCGCACAATGCCATCGCGTAATTGTTGCATATTCATCGCACAATGTGAAAAACTTAGTTTTTTATTGGACGATGTGAAAAACTTAACAAGACTTCAAAACGGGGTGAAAATAACTATTTTCACAATAAAAAAAAGTACAACTTAAAAAGTTACAACCAATTGTATGGAGAATTAAACTCAATCCAATTTTGTAAGATGCATTAAATATTGATTAGATTTTATATGTAAAATAAAATAAAAAATAACTGGAATAATTTTACGTGTTGCAATATTTTATATTTAAAAAAAATTAAAATCTTTTACGTGTTGCATACCAACATTTTAGGAACTACATGGATATTCCTAAATTAATATTACATACATACCCAATATTTTAGGAACTAATTAAATGCTAATTTGATTTGCATACCCAAAATATTAGATGCATTAATTAAATACTTGATAAAATTAAAAAATCATTAATTAAGTTTGACTTTTCTAATTACTATATTTAGTAAATAGAATCTCGTTTAATATAAGTATAGACTAGTGTGTAGCCCGTGCGATGCACGGGATGTAATATTAAATAATAATTATAATACGTCTCGAGTTTAAGTCACCTAATAGAAGAAATGAGAACTACTATTGATCTTGTTTAAAAAAAGGAAGAAAATTAGACTTTAAGTGAATTAGATTTTTATTTAAACAAAAAAACTTATAAAATATTTTTACCGTAATAATGGATTTATAGTACTAATTGTGAATTATTTTTTTTACTTTTTTTATTTATTTAATTTTAAATTGTTAAAATAAATAAGGGATTAGATTTTTTAACTATTCATCAGCAATTACCATAACAACAAATTACCACAAAATGAATTCAAAGTTATTTTTAAATTCGAAATTAATGATGTAAAGACGGAATTTTTAAAAAATGTGAAAAATTACCAAGATTAGTAACTTTTAAATTTGTGAGCGGGATTTTTGTTAATTTTCATGTAAATACAAACTTTTTAATATATTAACAGATATAGATATTGTTACTCTAACCAGTAGCCATTAGATTTAATTTAACTATTATAATTGAAAGTGTGTTTAAATTAGAATAAAATACTTTTGTTTGGAAACAAAACAAACATTCAATACAATTTGATAACCACAAACTGAAACGCTTGTACACGCTACCATGTGTCTCACTCGCCCCCCACGCATCTTCCATTGCAGCCATAATTAATATGTGCTTTCACCGCCCCTGAATATCAAGAAACATCTCCACCCATCCTTACTCTCAATCAATCCAGAATAATACCAACAAATCCTCCCAATCCGTTGAAGATAATTCAAATCGAAAAGGAAAAAGAAAATCAAAAATCATGGTGCGTTGCGGTAACAAACCTAGTCGGGCTCCTGAACATCATCACGCTCGTCCTCTCGATCCCGATCACCGGCGGTGGGATATGGCTTTCCCTGCTGGCCAACACCGAGTGCGAGCGGTTCCTCGACCGGTCGGTCATCAGCGATAGCCTGGCTCCTCGTGTCCATGGTCGAACTCATCGCAGGGTTTCGTGGCTCCTATGGGTGTACCTGCAGTGCTGGTGATAATTGTCCTCCTTTTCTGCTTCACGATCTTCACCTTATATTAATAGATCACGCGGACGGTCTCGAGTGTATGCCATTATATTTTCTCTGTATTATTTTTCTGCACGTTTTGCGCCTTAATTTTGAAGAGCTCATAAAAAAAATTATATCAATTAATACCCTTTTATACACAGGTTTTCTCTGCTCGTTTATCTCCACGAAAATTATGGAATGATTTTGTTAAGATATTAACCAAAATAGGAGGATTTTGTTTCCACGAAAATTATGGAATGATTTTGTTAAGATCTTAACAAAAATATGATGATTCTGTTTTTTTTAAACGCGTTAATGTTTAACAACACGTGAATTTGTTAGGATAATTATCTTATGTGATTTCTTAGAATAAATTTGTTAGGATAATTTGTTAGGATTATTATCTACCAAACAAAATAGGCGTGAAGAATGGTGATAAGATAAATATGATTTAAAAGAAAAAAGAAAAGCAATAAAATTTTTAGGATAATTACCAAAGCGTGATATTTAAATGACTTTCTACCAATCTACACAAAACGTGAAAATAGGAGATAAATTAGGAAAAAATTAAAACAAAAGAAAAGCAATAAATAGGTCTTTATTTTTTAGATATTTAAAAGACTTTCCACAAATGGGAAGTCAAAGTCTTTTTGACCAATTTTTTAAAACTTTCCTCAAATGATTTTTTTACCTTCCTCTTTCAATTATTATAGATATAAATTCATAATTTTAATTTATTCAAGATACATGTTAAATTAATGGCACTTAACTATTTTTTAGTCAGAGATGTGATCAAAAGTATTAATACTTATCTCATGATACATAATTGTAGGCGGTGATCTCATGTCCTTCAAGATGTGGATTTAAATTAATATTAGTTATTAAGTAGTTAATTAAAGATGTGGTTAAAATTTTTAATACTTATCTACTAACACAGAATAGCAGGACGTGAGCTGCAAAAATTTGTCGTGCGCAATTTGTACTTATCATATTTATATCATAATTTCAATTACTTGAAGATATGTTTAAATTTAATTGTACTTATCAACAAATTATTTAGAGATAAGGACAAAAAGATTAATACTTATCTCATATTAAGATAATCTATGAAGTTACTCTACGTTTATAATATAAATATTAAGCTAATTTATAAAGTCTAATATTGTATTAAATTCTTTAAAACTCGTAATGTTTAAAATGTTTTCATATATACTAAAAATTTGTTATTCTGTTTTTAAGTGGATGTGGTCAAAATTATATTAATGTAATATTAAATCATTTAGAAAAAAAAATATTATAACTGTATGCAAGTACACCATGATCCGAAAAAATGAACTAATAAATATTGTATTATATTAACGATAAAATATAATAATCCTTCAATTCGCAATATGACATGGAATAAATTTCATAAAAAAATCATCAAATGATATATAATAAAAACGGAAGAAATTGGAGTGGTAACCATATCTCTATCCTTGCTAGTAATGAGGAAAATTCCCATTGTATTCCATAAAATCTGTCCTTCCATGAAGGACAATCTTTCAACGATGAATTATTATATTGTTCTTCCCACTATAATATTCAACATCGTAGTTGCGAATAAAATACACGCTTCCTTGTTTAAGGCGATCTCGAAATACGATCATATGATGCGAACATATTATTCTTTTCATGTATGAACCCTACAACATATTTGAAATAAGAAATAACAAAAAAAAAAAAACAAATGAAAAATCAGTTGAAGTATGATAGTAGATATTCATGTAATATTGTTTAATGATAAAATGGTTGAAAATAATTACTCTTTCATCATGGAACAGGATATGAAAAGTGTTTGGATAATTCGGATCGTCACGAGTTTCATGCAGTTGGACTACTCTCAACTTCAAAATCGGTTTGTTGGATCGACTCACGGAGTCCAATGTACCCCTGAAGAGTGCCATATAATAATTTTTGTATATTGTAAATTGTGTTCAACTTTAGTGGGTATTGAAGATGTGTGTTGAAGGGGTCCAAAAAAAAGAATGAAAGTGAATAGATGTAGTGTTATCATTTTATATAGAATTTTTTTTAAAACGTGGGTAGAGATTAGGATGAATCTGAGTATTTTATGCTTCAAAGTGATAAAGATGAATTTTTATTCGGTCATCTAAAGAGATAAGTTCCTAATTTTCGGTCATTCAACAACTTTCCACAAATGGAAAGTGAAAATATTTTTTTAAAAGTTTCCACAATTGATTTATTTACTTCCCTCTTTCAATATATATAGATTGCTATTTTGCACAATCCAAATGGATAGAAAATGTCACACAACTTTATTTTATGATCGAACCGGATCTTCTTAATAGATATATGTAACACTTTTGCCCGGTTCAAAATTTCAAATTTCAAAACCACAACGGAACAACGAAATTAACGGCCTCACCATGGAAACTTTCTCTCTTTTGCTCTCTCACTCTCTGTGATGAGTGATTTTACCAAATAAAAAAGCACCAATTTCTCACTTTTTCACCCTTTTTCTTGAAACTGAAACAGTATATTAAGTGTCATTTTTAATCTTTTTTGTTATTCGTTTCTTGTCTGTGTCCATTTGAAACTTCAAAAGAATCCATTTTTATTTGTTCTGTTTTATTGATAAATGGGAGATTTTGAGTGGCATGACCAGCTTCGTACAACCGATGTTCGTTACATAGAGCCACAAGTTCGAAATCAAGCTCATTGTAAGTTGCCCAAAGCTCATTTCGACTAGGAAAAGATAATCAAGATCATTGTTTTTTCTTGTTTTTGGGTTGTGTGAATTGGGTTTTCGTTTTCTTGAATTCGCATTCATTCGACAGGCGACTCGAAAGATCTGCGTAGACTCGAAACTTCAGCTATGGAGAACACAGAAGAATCTAGCACGACCAAGATTGAAGGTAATCTTGACATTGGAATTTATAGTTTCAGAATGGGATTTCTTGTTTCGGTTCAATTATGTTTCTGTTTTCTGATTTGGTTTGGCTGAATTAGCGAGCTTTGACCTGTTTTAAGCCCATTTTTCATTTGGGTTTATTTGTATTAGCTAGTTTTTATGCAGATTTTATTTATTTATTTATTTGTGATTTTAGGTCGTTCTGCGCTCGGATTTTCATTGACATCGCCCGATTTAGTATGTGTTGGTTCACCTGACATTGCTAGCCAGAGATATGAAGAATCACCGCGATTATCGAATGGCAAAACAATCAACGTCTCGTTAGAAAATGGAATTGAGGGGTCTGAAATCGGCAGCACGTTTAAGGCCTCGCCTTCGAATACTGAAGATTTATGCCCCGAGGCTTCCTTTGAGCTCATTGCACCTCCACCGCCAGATCAAGAGAATTCAACTGGAATTCGAACCACCGAAATAGGCAATAATGTGGGGCCCACAATGGGTGTTGAGTCTGATGGTGGCTTGTGTTTTTCCGAGGAAGGTACTGTAGGAGCTGCAGAGCTCGTAACTGGAGAGGTGCCAGACGAGCAGGGCCTTAGGCCTTGCCAAACGGCTTGTTCGGGTGACTTTTTTTTATTTGTTTCAATAGTTTAGACTCTGCATATTGCTAGGTGGATCTGCATTTTTTCTTGTGATCTTTGCAAAATGCGCTAAACTTCATTTTGTTTCTAATGACAGGTTCTGGAGAGATACTATCCGAAGAAGCGGGATGTACACACATGCCACTGAATGTACTGTTAAATATTCAAAAGATTGTTATTTTTGTTAAATTACAGTGCCATTGGGTCGAAAGACGTTAATTCACTAAGTTCGTTTACATTCAATAGGATAAATGTGATGATATTGTTGAGGAAAATGTTGTTGAAAAGGAACTGTTCAACACAAAAAAGCTTTTGGAGGAGCTTAGGAAAGAAAATGAGCTCAAAAGCAAAGAATGTGAAGAAGCGTGGACATCTTTGCGAGACCTTCAAAATGAGCTTATGCGTAAATCAATGCATGTTGGATCGTTAGGTGAGTTTACAATACATAATAAGATTGTTATGTCTGCAAACTATTCATTTTTTTTTAATTAAAATGCACTTTTTCTTTCCACATTTTTGATTTTGTAGCTTTTGCGATCGAGGGACAAGTGAAAGAAAAGAGCAAATGGTTTTCTTCGCTACGAGACTTGACAAGAAAGTTGAAGGTACAAATGAATATTTTGTCATTGTCCTATGGAATATACATACATTTTATTGAATGTGGATTGTTTTCGGGCAGCTTTTGAAGATGGATCATATTGAACTCTCGGAAGATGCTTCATTGTTCAAACAGTTTCTTGCTGACATGGATGGTCTCAAATCCACTGTTCAGTCTACACGTAAACTCTTTTATACATACAACTGCACTTACCGATTTATTATTATTTATTTTCACTTACTAAAGCCGTGTTTTCTTTGTGTTTACGTCTTTCATTTCTTCGTCTAATATATGAGTGTGTGTGTGTGTGTGCTGGCAGTTAATCAGCTTGTCCAATCACACGAAGACATCAAAATTAAGTTCCTCCAAGAGGTGAAGGAGAGGAAAGAACTTTATAACAAAGTTTTGGAACTAAAAGGTAGTAAAGACTGTAACTTGTTTTTCATGATTTCATACCGATACGTAATTAACAGCTGCCCCAAATCTAAAAGAGAAGAAGAATTTATTTTTCTTAGGGAACATAAGAGTATTTTGTCGCTGTCGGCCCTTGAACATTGAAGAAATTAACGGAGGAGTTCCAATGGCTGTTGACTTTGAAGCTGCAAAAGATGGCGAACTAACTGTTAAGTCAAACGGCATTTCGAAAAAGACCTTCAAGTTTGACGCGGTTTTCAGTCCTGAAGCCGACCAACGTAAGTAGCTAATGAAAAGTTGGCGTTTTTTGTGATTCTGAAAAAAAGTTGGGGATTTTATGCAGTGAGCCCAAACTTCCGGACTGAAAATTTGATGCTGTTTTCAGTCTGGAAGATGACTAACGTAAGTAGCTAATGGAAAGAAAGTTGGGGTTTTTATGCAGCAAACACAAACTTTGGGGTCGGTTTTTGTGATTATCCACTAAAAACATTGTTGGTATTATTACTTAACTAACTTATGTGCATTACATTCTGTTTTCACTTCCCTTTTTGGTGTGCAGTTGATGTTTTTGAGGAGACTTCTCCACTTGCAATGTCTGTATTGGACGGTTATAACGTATGTATATTTGCTTACGGCCAAACGGGCACTGGTAAGACTTTCACCATGGAAGGGACAGATGGCGCTCGTGGAGTAAACTACAGAACACTCGAAAAGCTGTTTGACATCATCGAAGAACGAAAGAACACGTTCAAGTATGAAGTCTCAGTCAGTGTATTGGAGGTTTATAACGAGCAAATAAGAGATCTGTTAGTTTCGGATTCGAATCAAGGTTCGAATGCAGCAAAGCGGTACGGATCTTTATAATAAATAAACTTTTGGGAAGATTCATATGATTTTTTTTTTTTT